ACGCCGCGGGGAGGGCAGCAAGGCCCCAGGTGAGTGGGTCTGGCTGCCGGGGGGCTGGGGACAGCGCCGCTGGGCAGACGCGCGCCCTCGCCGTGCGCATTTGGAAGCTGGACTCGGCAGAGAGCGGACAGCGGGCGGGGGGATCCGCGTGGAGTTTCTCTGGCGTCCCCAAGTTACTGCTGCGTGGCCGTGGGACGTTGCTCTGCCGGGCAGGACGGCTGTGGGCGCTCGGCCCGGAGAGCTGGTGCTGGCCGACACCAGGTGCGACGCGAGTTCGGGAGTTCGGGGAGAGCGCAGACCCCAAAGCTCTCCAGGCGGAGCGGTAAACGCGGCCCGGACCGCTGTCCTCAGAGGGGAGCTCCCGCGGCCCTCACCTTGACCTGGGAGGGGTGGGGGCCAAACTCCGCGCTGGCGGGGCCGCCGGGCTCTGCAGCGGTCTGAGACTGGAAGGGGGTGTGCGTCTGCGCGTGTCGGAGTCCTTTACCATCCGCGCCAGACTCCTTTACCTGCCGGGAAGGGGGAACTCGTCTGAGCGTGCTTTGCTTTTTGCTGTAATTAGTATTCTGCTGCTACCGCTGATCTGCAGGGCGTCCTGCGTCCCTTCCGCCCGGCTGTTCCTTAGGGGTGCGCTGGGGAAAGGGCGCCCGGCTGCTCGGAATGCGGGGTGCACTTCGTGGTTGCACATGGCACACGGCTGCTTGCTGGTGTTCGACCTCTCGGCATGGATTCATCAGAAAGGGCCTATTGTCTGTATTGGCTATACGTTTTAGATCGTTAAGCCTACGGATTTCTTAGATGTTGTCCAGGTGAGTGAAGAAGATTGGCACGGAGTTCACCCCGCTGTGGGCAAATGGGAACCTCTGAAGAAAGCATCAAGGATTGGGTGTCTCAGAGCTTTGAGGATCTGCGAGTGGAAGCATGAATATACTTAAAACGCCTTTTGTTTTTCAAGAAATGGGTCCTCCTCCTTAGATCGTTTATAAAGTGAAAGATCTTTAAGTAGGAGTTGCCCTTCATAATCCCTGTAACCAGACAGGTGACCCGATCATTTCATTTTAAATGCAGAAGTACATAAACAGAACTTTGTGGGGGGAAAGATAGAAAAATGTAAGTGACATGTGAATATATGGCGTCTGCCAAGTGACAGATATGTATTTTAAAAGTCAGATTAACATCACAAAAACGTATATTTTAAAAGTGTTTAGGATCAGTAAGTAACAGCATTTTTAATTTTTTTTTTTTTATAAAGGAAAGTTTTCCTCCGTGTAGTGCCAGCAACATCTAAATAGCTGTGTGTCTTTATGAAGGCAAGTTGGTAGGAGGGGAAGAGCTAAGGAAGAAAGTAATTGCCTTGGAAGCTTTCAGTAACTCACCAAAAATGACTTCTTTCCCAAAGAACTAGTTAGACTTGAGGTTTACCCAGGCTCTTGTTACCCATGTAAAGGGAAAATGCATTAAGCACCCCGTTCATTATTGTCAGGGCCACTTGGAACAGAACAGGGTGAAGTAAAATGCAAAAGAATCGAGACAAGTAGTCAAACCGGCAACTTGGTGGAAATCTTACTTATAGGTTAGTGTTTAATATGGAGTGGAGTGGCAAAAGCAATTAGGCAGCATCCAACGTTAATGGTCTTATCTGGTCCAGCTAGCTGCAAGTCTGTCTGTGGGAAGAAAAATATAAGGGAACAGTAATCAGCAGTGCAGCCCAGCACCCTGCTAAAAGCGATTAAGGTCTGCAGCTTTAATAAAAGGGCATTGTGCACTTGCAACGTGACATATTATTGTAATTAAGGGCTGCAATAGGTCAGGAGATTTGTGTTAACAATCAGCTGACAGACTCACAACTCTTTAAGTCTACTTTTAGTGATTTAATAGCACAGTGCTTTCCCCTTTCTTAGAAAAGAGTAATTGTAAAGCATGTATATTACTGCAGTTTACCCTTGCATCGACTCTAGTCTTTTTAGCGTCCAATGAGAAAGAGAGGGGTGGGAGCCTACTGGGTTGGCCAGCGTTCAGCTTTCCTGGATCTACAACTCAGCCCACTGTGTCTTCTCAGGCATGTTGTCTTTGCTCCTTATCACTGCATTTTAGGTGTTTTTTGAGAGCAAAGCTGATAATAAACTTCTCAGAATGTATACAGACACAAGGAAGTGAATACATCTCTGTGTGCACATACTTTTTGCCAGATCTTTTAAGAACCTTTTTCGAACGTACTGAACCGGTGTATGGTTCAGTGTTGTCATTCTTTATGCTTCGGTGATGTCAACCTTCCTGGATTTCATAAGGGTTTGCATTTATTGCATTAGTAGTTTGTATGTCACATGTTTCTCTCGCACACCAAAATGGTTATTTTTGTTTTTGTTCTTTTTTTTTTTTTTTAACTTGCTTGGAAGGCTTCAAAAAGCCCTATTAGAGTAAGTTGGGAGTTTCCGAAACTTCGAAAATAACTAACACATGTTAGATGATGGAAAACTGACTGACAGAAGCTTTTCTCCTTGGCATGAAGGGGATCAGTTGCTTTTACAAGGGGAGCTGAGGACATGGAAAGAAGCCATGTGATCAAGAGTCCTGTGTGTGACCATCTCGGCTTCGCTGAGCAGAGCAGATCTAACTGTAACCAGCAGTACTCTAGTGCCTCCTCTGGGAATTTATTGGTTCTGCAGAGAGATACCCCTGCTAACATATGCCCCTCCTCCTCCTGCAACGCTCCTCAGTGACAAAATGATCAGTGCAAATGAATATGCAGACATCTGTCCATACATGCGTTTCAGATTATGCTTCAGACTTTCATTCTGGTAGAATTTCTTTTCAGCTGTTTTGCAAAGTGTTTATTGAAACACGATGCCTTTTATTGAAGTCATGTTAAGCCCTACCTGGCTCCATATATGTGCAAGGGTAAATTCAAAGTTAAAATTGTTACAGCTAAGATAGCTTGTAAAAAGTATGAAGGAAAACCCTTTAAATATAATTGTACCACTTTGTTATTATATAAATAGATCGGAAGGACTGTGCTTTGTAACTTTTCTTTTTAATTGACACAGGCTGCTTCTAGTTAATTAGAAACCATTGTTCCTCTTTTTTTCATTGTTTTCACCTATAACAGAGGTTATTTGTGTTTAGTTGAAATTGACTCTCTTATCCACTTAAAGAAGTTTTCATTCCATGTCTGATAACCAGATGCACAATACAAGCTATGTGATTCATTTCCAGGGCCCCTGTCTGAATATTTAGGCCAGTTAATGGTAGGAGGTTGTGGTCTGTGGTCGTGATGTTCAATCTGACCCAGGGAGTTAATGGATTCGATCAGTTTCTTTACGTGAGAAGTCACATATCAAAGAGAGTCCTCAGCTTACCTAATTAAAATGTAAAAAATTGTACCTTTTATGTACAAAAGAAGGCTGTTTCTTCAGCATTAAACTT